TCGTGACATAAACATGGACCCAGATGGCCATCGAAACGTCCTCCGCAAGATCCGAAAAATCCGTAAAAGTTGTCAATGTATGGAACTGATCCTAGAGCTCCACGGTTTTTTTTTTCGAAAACACTTGGAACTGTCATATATAAATTAATTTGCAGTCGTGACATAAACATGTACCCAGAAGGCCATGGGACCGTCCTCCGCAAGATCTAGAACATCTTTAAAAATGGGCAACCCTCGAAACTGATCCTAGAGTTCTACGGTTTTTTTCGAAAGCATGTGGAACTGCGATATAAGAAATATTTTGGAGTCATGACATAAGCATGGACCCAAATGGCCATGGGGCCATCCTGTGGTAAGTCCAGAACATCCGTAAAAGAGGTTAATCAATGAAACTGATTCTAAACATTAGGAACTGTGATATAAGAATGAATTTGTGATCGTGACTTAAACATGTACCCAGATAGCCATGGGACCGTCGTCCGCAAGATCAACAACATCCGTAAAATGGTTACTCCATAAAATTGAGAGGTGGAAGCATTACTATGGCGAGCACCTCAACGGTGATGCAGCAGAAAACGAAGGTGGCACGACAACAGACCTTGGAGCACGTGCAGGAGACGACAGGCTACTGGCCCCTGATCTTCAAGAAGTTGAGGAGGAGATCGGTCGACTGAAGAACAAGAAAGCAACTGGTGTAGATCAACAACCAAGTGAGCTATTAAAATACGGTGGTGAAGCACTGGCTAGAGCGCTGCACTGGGTAATTGCCAAGATTTGGGAGAAGGGGATATTACCGGAGGAGTGAAGCAAGGTGTTGTATGCCCAATCTACAAAAAAAAGCGACAAGTTGGATTGCTGCAACTACCGCGCGATCACACTGCTGAGCGCCGCTTACAAGGTACTCTCCCAAATTATACGCCGCCTGTCACCATTTGCAAGAGATTTCTTGGGCAATACCAGCAGGAATTCATGGGTTCATATTCGCGATTTGGCAGGTTCTGCAGAAATGCCACAAATACAACTTGCTTACACATCATTTGTTCATCGATTTCAAATCCGCATACGGCACAATCGATCGTGATCAGCTATGGCAGATTATGCCCGAGTACGGATTTCCAGATAAACTGACGCGATTGGTCAAGGCAACGATGGATCGAGTGATGTGCGTTGTTCGAGTATCGGGGACACTCTCGAGTCCCTTTGAGTCTCGAAGGGGGTTACGGCAAGGTGATGGATTTTCGTGTCTGCTATTCAACATCGCGTTAGAAGGTGTGATCAGAAGAGTTGGGATAGACACGAGTATCAAGACAGCTTCTTGGCTTCACCGATGACATCGACATCATGGCACCGAACTTTGAGACGAAGGCGGAAACGTACATCAGACTGAAGGCTGAAGCTAGGTGGATTGGACTTGCCATCAACACGTTAAACACAAAATACATGAAACGAAGAGGTTCTAGGGAAGACAATGTTAGCCTCCCACCCCGAGTTCAGATTGACGGTGACGAAATCGAGGTGGTCGATGAGTTCGTGTATTTGGGCTCACTGGTGACCGTCGAAAATGATACCAGCAGATAATTTCAAAGACGCATTATGGCAGGGAATCGTGCCTACTTTGGACTCCGGAGGACGCTCCGGTCGAATAAAATTCGCCACAAAGTTGACTATCTAAAAGACGCTGATTAGACCGGTGGCCGTCTACTGCCACGAGACCGTGACTATACTCGTGGAGGACAAACGCGCCCTTGGATGACGGAACGTGGAGGAAGCGAATGAACCAAGAATTGCACCAGCTGTTGGGAGAACCATCCATCGTTCACATTGCAAAAATTGGGCGACTACGGTAGGCTGGGCATGTGGTAAGAATGTCGCACGACGACGCAGTGAAAATGGTTTTCGAAAGCGCCCCAACAGGAACAAGAAGAAGAGGCGCGCAGCGCGCAAGGTTGATCGACCAAGTAGAAGGTGATCTGCGGACCCTTCGCAGACTACGAGGCTGGCAAAGTCTGGCCATGGATCGAGTAGAGTGGAAACGACTTCTTCGGACAGCAGAGGACAACAAGGCCTTAGCTCGATTGCAAGCCATAAAATTGATCCAAGAACGAAAAACCGTGGAACTGTGATATTAGAATGAATTTGGAGTCTGAACATAAACATGGAACCGAATGACCATGGGACAGTCCTTGGGAAGATCCGTAAAAATGAACCTGGATGGCCATTGGAACGTCCTCCAGAAGATCCTGATCATCCGTAAAAGTGGATCATCGATAAGACTGTGAAAAAACCGTGGTTTTTTTTCGAAAACTCTTGGAACTGCGATTTAAGATAGAATTTAGGGTCGTGACATAAACATGGATCTGGATGGCCATGAGACTGTCCTCCAAAAGATCGGGAACATCCGTAAATTTATCATACTGAGAAAATGATCCTAGAGCTCTGCAGTTCTTTTTTAAATACTGTGATATAAGAAACCTCTGGATCACTTTTACGGATGTTCCGTATCTTCTGGAGGACGGTCCTATGGCCATCCAGGTCCGTGTTTTTTTAATCTTTATTAAGGAGACTTTCAGCCCTTGGCTGGTTCGTCTCCGGTACGTGTTTATGTCATGACCCCGAATTCTTTCTTATAACACATGCTTTCGAAAAAATGTAGAACTCTAGGATCAGTTTCAAAGATTGACCATTTTTAAAGATGTTCTAGATCTTGCGGAGGACGGTCCCATGGCCTTCTAGGTACATGTTTATGTCATGACCGCAAATTAATTTATATATGAAAGTTCCAAGTGATTTCGAAAAAACCTTGGAGCTCTAGGGTCAGTTTCATACAATGACCACTTTTACGGAATTTTCGGATCTTGCGGAGGACGGTCCGATGGCCATCTGGGTCCATGTTTATGTCACGATCCCAAATTCATTCTAATATCGCAGTTCCTAACGTTTTCAAGAAAACCACGGAGCTCTCGGATCAGTTTCGTGAATTTTCCACTTTCACGGGTGTTCCGGATCTTTTGGAGGACGGTCCCATGCCCATCAAGGTCCATGTTTGTGTCACGACCCAGAACTCATTCTATCATCTCAGGTCTTTGTGTTTTTTTCAAAAATTGCGGAGCTCTAGGATCATTTTCATTGTTTGACCACTTTCACGGATGTTCCGGATCTTCCGGAGGATGGTACTATGGACATCCAGATTCATGTTTATGTCACAAGCCCAAATTTTTTCTATCATCACAGTTCCTAATGTATTCAAGAAAACCACGGAGCTCTAAGATCAGGATCGTGGATTTACTACTTTTACGGATTGGAGGCGAACCAGCCTAAGGCTGAAAGCCTCCTAAATAAAGCTAAATAATAATAGTAATACTTTTACGGATGTTCCGGATCTTCCACTGGCGGTCCGATGGCCATCTTGGTCCATGATCCAAATTCATTCTTATATCACAGATCCTAATTTAAAAAAACGCGTAGCTCTAGGATCAGTTTCATGGGTTGATCACTTTTACGGATGTTCCGGATCTTCCGGAGGACGGTCCCATGGCCATCCAGGTACATGTTTATGTCACGACCCCAAATATTTGTTTATATCACAGTTCCTAATGTTTTCAAAAAAACCGCAGAGCTCTAGGATCAGGATCATGGATTGACCATTTTTACGGATGTTCCGGATTTTTCGAGGACCGTTCCGTTGTCTCCAGGATCCATATATAGGAACCATGACTGTATTCTGGCTAATTGTGAACATTTGTGCCCATTAATCTAAATTACAGATCTTGCACCACTTGTAAAACCCTACAAACACACCTTTCAAAAAAACGTGTAACAACTCTTTTCGCTTTTTATAAAAGTAGACGACTCTATTTTCAAGTTTTTTGCAATCAAAGTCATCTAGAAACCCTAGGAATTCTAAAGGTACCACAATTTTTGAAATTCATTAAGAAATGGCTAAGTTGTGCCATTGCAAACTTGCCGTTACACGTTTTTTGGAGGCTTCGTAGTCGGCGTAAAGTTTTTTACCCACCGTATTCGGAGTGTTAACCAGGCATAGCAAATCATTTACATTTATTTTAAGCATCCAATTACATTCATTTACCTCTAACTTTTTTCAACAACATAATTCCGTCAAATGATGTATAAAGCTTTCGTAGGTCTTCATATTAGCTACAACTTTTGTAAATAACTCCAATCTGTGTCTCTTATGCATGACGAACTAGAGCGAGCAGAACTTTTTTATTTTTGGTTTTTCAAGGAATATAATTTACATTCACTGAAAAACAAGGTGGGTTCTGTTCGCTCTGGTTCATTTTGCATGAGAGATGCAGATTTGAATTGTTTACAAAAGTTGTAGCTAATATTAAGACCTACAAAAGTTTCATCCATCATTTGACGGAATGCCGTTAATGAAAAAAGTTAGAGGCAAATTGATTTGTGATTGAATGCTCCAAATAAATGTAAATGATTTTCCATGCCTGGTTAAGAGAATACAATATTTAGCTAAAAATGTAGTTGGAATTGTTGGTACCTATTTTAATATATCCGTATGAAACTGCTCAGTATACGGTTCTTGCACGGTATGCACGGACATTTCGAACACAAACACATACAAACAATGATTAGTACAGTTGACTACCTGTCATACGGATACGGTTGTTAATGGAAGAAGCACACGTAAAGTGAGTAACAGAGCAGGGAAATTGGCATAGGTTGGATTCGTTTTGCAAGCGGATGCTTCCCGTTCGGGTGAGTTTAGAGATGATGAGCGAAGTAGCACAAAGGTAGGGTATGGTAGGCAGGACCACAGACAGATGGTAGGTACGTTAGCAGAGGACACTAATTGCTCATGAACACTGCTCAGCCGTAATTTCGCGAATCTACCGAACTTGATTCGATTCCCTTTTCTGAATTTTGGATCGAGGACGAAACTCGAGGACACCGATAATCTGTCTATCTGCGACTTCTGATAGAATAGGACGAAAGGAGAAAAAAAACCTAACACGCACACACACCTGTTTTACCGTTAATCTTATTCTCCTTATTGCTACCGCCGCCTCCATTGCCATGCGTGCTACCGTTGATCGGCGAAGTGGATAAGCTTGGCCACGCTTCTTTGTTTTGTATAGGTCCATTGGTTATGTCGCTAATATGTTTAGAATCACCTGTTTTACCACTGCCGCTTGTACCGTTCGCAATAATACCGTTTGTGGTGGTGCCGGTTCCGGTTCCGATTCCGCCGGTGCCGTTGATGCCGACACCGGCGCTGCTGCTGCCGTTGCTACTACTAATGTTGCCATTGCCGGCACCACCACTGGTACTGTTGCTGCTACCGATGACGGCCACGCCAACGCCGTTAGTACCATTCACCGACGGTGCCGTCGTTCCTCCGGCCGAGCTTCCCACACTAGCAATCATCGTGTCATGGAGCCGTTTCTCGTACTCCTGATGCTTCCCTTGGTGCATTTCCTACGAAAAAGAAAATGCTCGTAAAATGCAAACGCAACAACAACGTCAACCGGACAAACCTCCTTCGTAAAGCTAGCCTCCTGGTCGCCCAGTTCGTGCAAGTACATGCAATCCGGCTTCGGACACGTTTGGTTTTTCATAAAATGACTACAGTACTTGGTGGTGCCTAAACTGGTCTTTATTAGCCGATTATCGAGCATAATGTTGTTGACGCTCTGGATTGCCTTCAGAGCGTCGTTGTTGTTAATGTACGTCACGTACGCCGACGCCGAAGGGCCCTGTTTATCCATAAAGTGAACGATCGCAACAGGTCAGGATCCCGGCAAACGGTATGTTGGGCGGTATGTTTAGAAAGAGAAACAAAGGGGAAAAAGTCAGTTACCTCCTTTACGCCGTTACCAATATTACCTGGACTCCTGCGTACGTTGTACTAGGATTTATGACAACTTTATGAATCTTGCCGTATTTGCCGAAGTATTCATGCTTTTTAAGAATCTATAATCGATAATAAAAAAAAAACAATAGAAACGGAGTCAGTCAATTCAGCTGCCCAAATTATAGCATGTCAGAATAATATCGAAAGCCGAAGGACAACAGAAGAATTTCCGCACCGAAGACTAGCAGAAGTGAATGCATGAATTAGTTTCGAATGACAAACTCATGCATTCACTCCTGCTGATCCGCAGGCAGATCAGAAATCAAATGACGCTTAAATATACCTGCAAAGACAACGAACAAGCACAATCACAACTTACTTCGGGATCTGCCAATCTCGGCGGCAGTCCGACGACGAATACCAGGTTCTTCTGCACCACCCGCACGTTGGCTAAATGTTTCCGGTTTTCGGAGATTTTCGCCTTCCGCTGCTGGTCCCGCTGTCGCTTCTCCGCCTTGAATGCTGCAATCTGCTCCTGCGACAGGGGCGTGAAGTCTGCCGGGTTTTCCGGGTACGCCTTCCGACACGCGGGGCACAGCTCGTTCTCGTCGGTGCGGATCCTGTGCCAGCAGAACCGGCAGATCTGGAATGGAGAGACAAGGCGAGAAGAAAGTGGGAGTGATGATTATTCAACGTTAAGCAGGCATCGTTGAAGATTTGGAATGTGTTGCAAAGTGTGGCCTTGTCAAAAAGTGGCATTTTTTTTTAGGGACCTCCAGGTGTTTTCTATTTTTGTAGGTGGTACAATTTTTTTTTTTTTTTTTTTTATTATAGTCACTTTAACGCTCTTGGGTCATTCGTGACTTGTCCGGGGGTGAGATTTGAACTCGTGACTTTGGCGTGAGAGGTATGGATGCTAACCACTACGCCGGGGTCGCCCCCTATAGGTGGTACAAGTTTTAGACACTAGTGTGATACTAGTACCGCCTCCGATGGTTGCTGTGTAGATCAAGATTGATCTCAGCCACTTATGGAAGTGTTCCTCCAACATTTAGTCGGTGGTCAGACCGGACACCAAGCGATTTTTGTTTTATTTCGAGAAAAAAAGAATTTGAAGTTTGCTTGATGTAATGTCGGCCTTAATGCCCCTAATTTGGGCCCATACATAAATTCAGCAATCGACTAAATTTTCAATAACGACCAAAAATATCCATTAGTACCGTCCTAATGACGCGTTCAGCTAGATAAAATTGATAAATAGCAGATTTTTAGCGATGGGCCCAATCTTAGATCCATTTGAGCCATTTCCTCTAGTTAGTCGGAGAAAAGTTGACCTGATTGCATCCTGGGACTCCTGGGGCGCAATGTGGTATGGTTGCCGTATAACAAAATGTTGTTAGACTGTGTACTGGCGAACTGAAGCCTTTGTGTCACGAGTGATTGGTGATGGAAAGTGGACACCGGCCTCGTTTTCTCTGATGAGATCCCTCTAGTTGGAGCAGCTAGAGTGTGTTTCGTGGTTGATGGGGATTTACGCTGCTGTGAGGAACGAAAGGCGAGAGTGCTGTGTTTAACACCGGTTGAAGATGTAGTGGCAGTATATTTATGGGAGCTATTTGAAACCATCGTGATCAACGTGATGTAATGGATTTCTTTACAACATATCAGGTGAGATCTTTCCTTTATTTTTTTCTTAACTTTCATCCCATTATTATATGAAACATTAAATGTTATGGACAGGCGGTCCACTAGGACACCCGATTGAAGCGAAATGAATGGGGAGAGTGGAAATGCCAACTCCCTGTCTTTAACATTTCGTGAAAAGAGGATGGGCTCTTCTCCCCACTCATTGGGACATCCTCCTGTTGGATGGCCTATTTTTTGACCGGTTGTATCATCCTGTTGTTGGAAGAAGATTCTCATTTATTCCGTGGATGCACGTGGGCCATGTCTGGACCCATGGACCCAAACCGTTTTTGACCCTTCATACAATGCAGGTAGAATACAATTAGAAGCTTCGGCTTTCCTCAGCAGGACGAAGGCAGTGCAAAGTATAGTCGCTATATTCATAGTCTGGCGGATAGAATCTCGGGAACCAATTGAGCTGTCAAATAGCGGAACCAATCGAGCAAATCACGACCAACAACAGAAAAGAGCACATCAGCTATTGCGAACAAAACTTCGCAAACACTTTTCTCGTGACTCAAGGCTTGCCCAGAGTTGAAAATTATCTGGGGAGAATCACCCGGGTGCAAGAGATATCATTCTCTGGGGTGAATCTCTGCTTGTCTCCTCGGAGATTTCTCCTGGCACCACTGGAGAGATTTTTAGACACAGCACGAGAGAGTGAGAATGTTGACAGTTCACTTTTTGTCTGTTTATACACTCACTTCCGTGAGAAAGATAGCAGCGCAAATGCGTTATTGTTTCGCCAAAGATTCCGGCAGAGCTTGACGTGAGTGAGTGAAAACATCAATAAAATGGCTGAAAAACGTATACAAAGACAAGGGCGTAGCCAGGTTTTGAGCTAGGGAGAGGCGAATTTCACCGAAAGCCTTTGTGTTGCTGAGTTTAGTGCGGTTTGAGGACAGTACCGAAAAAGTGGTTGTGAATGTTGTGCTTTGCAGGGCAAATGAAAAAAAAAAAAACATTTAAAGTGGTTTGTTTTCATCGGGAAAATTTTCCGCTATGAAGTTGCGTATTTTGCGTATACGTATACGTGACGTAGTGTGCGTACGATAAACGTCAGCAATCTCTATATTCATCGGGTGTTCGGTGTGGCTAGATCGCTGCTCCTCTCTCCATTTTCACTGCAGCTGCTGACGGCATTCCAAGTGCATTCTTCTCGACACATTTCAACGACGACATTCTCCACGTTAAGGACGGGCATTTCCCTTCACAAAACTGCCTCGAACCTTGGACAGTCGAAGACCACATGCTCCGGCGTTTCATCCACGTTGCCACACTCCTAACAGGGGGGTGACACTGCGTGTCCGAACCGATGCAGATACATCCTGAAGCAGCCGCGGCCAGACAAGAACTGCGTTAGGTGGAATTTGACGTCTCCGTGATTTCTGTTCACACAGGTCGAAAAAAATCTGTATTAATCTACGTGGTTAGGTTAGGTTATCTTTAATAGCGAGACTTTAGCCAGAGACTGCTTCATCTCTTTATTAGTCTTCGTGTCCATCTACCGTTCTCTGCCGTGTTCCACTCCTGTTGCTACTTAGCCAACTACTCCGCTCTCACAACTTTCCGTACTCTTCCGGCTTCCCTCCGCCTGTAGCACTCGCTGTCTTCCACTTTGAGGTTATGACATGCCCCCGACGGTGATATCTTCCCGCTGTACTGCTTTACAGTTACTGTCCAATAGAACTTCCGTTTTATGATGGATCATCTGCAGCTTCGCTCCTTACATCCAGTTACCAATCATGTTGATCACCTCAGTCGCCAGAACTTCCACCTCTTCCAGCGTCTCGCCTGTTACCGTCAAGACGATGTCGTCCGCAAAGCCAACGATCTCAACTCCTTTGGGCAGCTTCAGCGTTAGCACGCCGTTGTACATCCCGGTCCAGAGCGTTGGACCACAAACGAAGTGGCAGACGACTAACTGGCGAAGAAATCAATTTAAATAATGTGGTTCGCTGTAATAGAATTTTCTTAGAAGCTTCTGCCATCATCCACCAGATGGGATAGTATTTTTGTTTTGGTTTTGCACAAAGTTGATTTTGTGTACAATGATTCTTTGACAGTGTGCAAAGAGTGCGTATCATTTTGTCATTTTTTTATGCATTTCAGTTTTGAGTAGAGTGAAAGAGATAGAACCAAAACATTCTAGTACATTTGGTGAAAATGCTAGTTCAATCCAGTAGTAGTGTTGCCATGTGGTACAATCCAGTAGTAGTGGTGTTGCCGTGTGGTACACTGAAAAATTGCAATAGCAGGTTAGTCACCAAAGTTTTCGAGCCGCTCCGTCTGTCACTTCGTTTGTGGTTGGACCAAGGATGGAGCCTTATGGAACTCCCGCTGTGATCCTAATCGATCTCTGTCCCATGTTGTCTGTCGACTAAACTGAAACAAATTTCAATAATGGTGCGCTGATGCATTTCCAAATGTGTACACCAAATTTTAAAATAATTGACTACTGTACGTTAATAGAAAAAGTAACTTTTAAAAAATCTTTGTATGCAACAAACCTAAGAGAAAGAGAAGACAATACGGGGGGCGAAAACGAATCACTTTTCTGTCAAGCGCGAACCAGCTCGCGATTGGCCGATTGGAAATGCGTAAGATAGAGATAGAGATACAGATAGAGATAGAAATAGAGATAAAAGAGAAAGAAGTCAGTTGTCTCCTCTTCCTCTTAGCAACAAACTAACAACCAAAGTCTTCACCGGGGTGATTCTCCCCGGTGAAGCAAACGAACTCTCTACGGTGCTCCCTAGTGATCACTCATACGCTCCGGTGTGTTGGACTGGTGGAGGTGCGAGGTCAGAAACTGTATTTGTTTGCGAAGTGGGAGAAGCGATAGAAACTGAAAACAAAATAAAAATCTCTCGGGTGAGTTTGCTTTTGTCATAGTGCGAGGTGTCGTTTCAACTCATCACCCTGCTTACACTGGGGAGAATGGCATCCCTGGGCTTGCCTACGCAAACTAACACCATCTTTGGGTTGGAGAAAGTTTCCCTTATCCGATGGTGCCGGTAATTTGCGTTCGATTGGCGAGGAAAGAATAATCAATGTTTTGTTTATAAAAGTTGACAGATATACAATATATTGAATTGGCTCCGCTTTTTGATAGATCGAAATTCTATCCGCCAGACTATGAATATAGCGACTATAGTGCAAAGCGGGTGCTTTTCAACTTCATGGGTGGCATATATAAGCGCTAGTGTAAGCAGGTCTTAACTTGACGCTTAACGAGTCAGCAAGCCGTGTGTGCAGCCCTCCGTTGTAAGCGCAACATTTCAATGCCGGTAAACGGAGGTCTCTATTAGGTTTTGCAGCGTGACGTGACAAATGAACTCAGTGTTAATCGGTTGAACTTGAACCTTTTTGACAGTTCAGTGGTACTGTTTACAAGCACTTCGAAAACAAATATTTTAAAATTCCCGAATTTTAACTTGAAAATTGTCGAGGAACTGGGCGGCGAACTGCAGTCCTTAAAATTATCGGGAAAATCTACACAAGAACAAAAGGAACTATGTCCACGTAAACAGTACCACTGAACTGTCATCAGATTGAGGTTAACCCCGACGGTACAAAATCTTATGGCAACGCTTCATAAACACACACGGGGCAACTCTCCACCCACTTTCGGACCAGCTCTTCACAAAGTAAGTCGCACAGTTCTTTTCTTTGTTTACGATAGTACAGGGCTCATTTTTTAACATTTCAATGAACGGGCAAAACCAATGTTATTAACCAACAAAAGTGAAAATAGTAAAAGGCACATCTTTAACTGAAATGTAAACACGGCGAAAAGTTAAGGGCAACACTTAAAAGGCAATCAAAACAAGGTGCATCCGCATTTCCGGGCGAAATTATAAAAAAGGGAAAAAAAGGGTTTTCAAGGGAAAACTAACAAAACGCTCAACACAAATTAAAATGGATGAATTTTATGACCATAAATATAATTGCATT